GGGGGGGGGGGGGGGGTGAGTAGTGCGTGCTGGAATATATGACGAGTAAGATACACGAACGAGGGGAAGGTGAGGGCAAGTGATCAGCCGGGGGTGTGCTGGAGCTAACGAGGAAAATCGTTGGGCAAGAACGCCGATCCCTGACGTATTTTGCCAACTCTTCACACACAACGACGGAAAAGTGGCAAAGTGTTGTGATACCAAAGTCACAGTGAGGAAAGCGTGTGACATCAGTCACATGTCGTCGGTAGGCGCGCAATTTTCCTGTTCCGATTGTCGCTTTCAGCTTTCGAGGACGCCTCACTCACAACACGCTTTCGTCTGTGACTTTTTGATTAACTCATGGCGTGGAACAAATGAATAATGGACGTGACATGTGCCGTCGCCGTCTCACTCTTTTGTGGACTCACCTGATAAAGTAACATGGGGCGGCAGCAGCAGCAGTAGTTGACAGGTCCGTGCCGTGGATCCATGTATTTACTGCGACAAATCGTTTCCCCCTATGAGAGGTTGTGAGAAAAGGGGGGGGGGCAGTAGAGTCACGACGAGGCCGTAGGGAAGCCAGCAGCGGTCGGGGGGAATTAGTGATGAATTAGTAAAGCGCGATCGTCGCGCCGAAGCGACGACCCCGCCGGGCCGTTTGCTCCTCCTCTCGAAATCCGCGCGCGAGCAGCAGTGTTGCCAATGAGGTTAGCAGCTAACCGTTAGCTCCCTTCCACGCCCCTCGCCGCGACGCTGTTCTCATGTCCGGATTTGGCGCGGGCTCGTCGGGAAGGCATTGCCCGAGGGGTCGTCCCGCGAGTTAGCGCGCGCGCTAACGGTACACCTAGTTACAAGCTACTACTGCTCGATTTGGATCCCATGGCATCCCGTGACCAAAGTGCTGTAATACAAAACACAATCCAAGAAGAAAGAGAGGTAAAGTAAAGGGAAAAAATAAAAATAATGAAAATTACGTGGTGCAGTACAAGGAACTGGTTGGTTCGGTTTCGGTGGGTCTTGGTGGCCCAGTCTCGTCCTGACGGGCGCGTCACCATCGCCTTCCGCCGCGGGCGCCTTCGGATCCAACTCGCTCCACTAACTTAGCCCCGCGCTCGCCGGGCCCGCCGGCCACGCCCGCGCCGGCGGGCTCCGCTGGGAGGGCGCGTCGGGGGGCTCCTCCGCCAGGCTCCGCAAAGTGACGAGACGGGCAACACGAGCACGGCGCTCGCGGATCAGCTCTCCGGATTAGCATAATGTGGTTCATGGTCGTGCTCTGTCGCGCCACCGCCGCCCCCGCCGCCGCGACGGTCACCTGTCCCCGCGCCGCCGCCCCCCGCCCGCCGCCAGGGGAGCCTCCGGCGCGGCGCTGCCTCGCTCCGGGGGCGGGGGCAGCGGCGGCGGCGGGGAGGCGGCTCCGGCCGGCCCGTCCGCGGACTCCGCCAGTCCTCGCGCGTCGGCCCGCGAGACCACACCACCCCTTCGGCTCGGCGCTGCTCGGCGCAGCTCAGCGCGCGGCTCGGCGCTCGCGATACCCCCGACACGTGGCTCGGCTGTGCTCGGCGCGCGTGGAACCCTCCAGGATGGCGCCATGAGGCCATGGCGGTGCACGGCCGGCGCCGGGGCCGGCGGCGGCGCAGGGGGCGTCTTCGGCATCCTGGCCGCCGCCCTGGTGGCAGCCCTGCTGGCCGCGCTGCACCTGACGGCGGCCGCCGACCTGGACAACCACTGGGTGCTGTACTACGACACGCCGTGCTGCGTCCACGACCGCCATGTCCGCCACCACAAAGGTACGCGCCGGGCGCATGTAGTGCGGGTCGTCATTGGTCATCGCTCTGGAGCTTTCGTGTTGCTGCTGCGCGTGCTGTGCACCAGGTGACCCTGGAGGACCCTCCTGCTGATGACTGTCACTTCAGAAGAAACGACCTTTGCGACAAGGACAAGAAGAACCACGCCTAATTCGCTTCCTAAATTTCCCCCTCCCCCCTAGCTTCCTGGCTAAATCCCGCTCAACAGCTCGCCGCCGCCGTTCCCTCTCCTCTCCTCCCAGTCCCCCGCGCCCCGCGCGTCGAGGGCTGCGAGGAGCAGCCGGGCAAGAAGTTGTGGAAGACCTGCACGTGCGAGCCGAGCCGCGCACCGCGCGCGCAAGTTGTATGAACTAGCCTCATTAACGGCACCAGGCACCTGTACATCTGTCCCGGCCCGGCCCGCGAGCCTGGCGGGAACCTGCTGCTCGAGTCCTCGGCTAAAAAGTTGTCCGCATTGTTCAGCGGCTCCGCGGCGGCGGCGGTGCGCTTCTACTGAGCGGGAGGGGGGCGGGTAGCTCCAGCTCCAAAGCTCTAACTCGCCAGCGCAGCGCGTGTGCCCCCGGCAACATGACGAACCCAAGCGTGGTGCGAGTTTCGTTTTGCACGCGCAAAAATCTGTACGCTGATAACGTGAACATTAAACACATTAATTTCCATTCTTCCCGCCAAAGTTTAAGCGAGCTTTTACTAGGAGCTTATTTTATGTATATACATTTTAACAGGGGCCGCTGGCTAATACGGGGATTTTGGCGTCACGATTCGGGGAAATTGGGATCGGGGCGAGGGGGAAACGACTGTTAAACTCTGTGTCAGCCGGATCACGGATTACCCGGATTACCTCTAGACTATCCTCCGGATTACGCTGATTTTTCTCTCGGATTACCCTGGGTTACCCTAAAATTTCCTCGGATTACCCCTGGATTACCCCCGGATTACTTCGAATTTCCTCGGATTACACCTGCTGGATTACCTAACGGCTGTCAGCCGGATTACCTTAGTCGTTTCCCCCTCGGATCGGGGTCATGGAAAAAAACAGAAAAATGATATCGCAATGTAGATGGTTAGCATCTGTAGGATAAGGGATGACCGCGGATGATCCAGAAAGTACGCCCGTTCAGCACAGCCTTGCAGCTGGCAGGCATCGGATGCCACCTTGGCCTCTGAGAGTGAGGCACACCTGGATGTGTGTGCTTCGAAGTTGACTCTTCCTTGTGTGTACCGCTGGGTTTGCAGTGAATGCAAGCTCTTGTAGCGCCTGCCAGGTAGGCAACATCTTGCCTGCAGTGCAAGAGTGTGCCGCGGGCTGGCCTACCCGGAGCCTCACAGGCGCCGAGCTCCCGTAGTTTGCTGATTGAATCTGTTGAAAAAGCGAATGTTTTCTCTGGACATCACCGCACTGCAAAAACAAAGGTGCTATATAACACCTTGTAAAAGGTGCTAGTGCACTAACGCCTTTGTAAAGGCACTAAAATGGCCAAAATAGCACCTAAAGGGGTCAGTCGCGCCTCTGTAAAGGCACCATTTCACTAACGCATGTAAAAAGGCATTAGGTAGCACTTTTGTTTTTCCACTGTGCCCCCCCCCCCCCCAACATGTTCTCCTCGCACTTTCCACTAACGGCAATAAGGCGACGTACGAATGCCACAGAGTTGACGCCCGCCAAAACATATGTTTTCTTAAAAGTTGAAACGAACAGATCACTGTCGCAACTTTTATTGCGGATTTCTCCAAACTGTGTTTTACCTTTACCACGCATTTTAAACCGTTATAAAGAAAAAAACATTATTTCCACCAGCACGTAATTTCACATCCTTGAAGTCTGCGGTGACGAGAGCAGCGGATCGAAACTATTTCCTCGTGCGGTGAGCGTTCATAGGGGAGGGGAATGCCTCGCGGTGGAAATGATGCGCTCCATGCGTTCTTAAGGCGACGCGGCGTGATAATGGGGGGGATGCCCGGAGGGCAAATACGTTCCTCAAGGAAGGCGCGCGACGCACGCCGCCGCCGCGACGCCGAACGCGTGGCGCGGCGGTGGTTGTTGTTGGGGGCAAACAAGTGAGTGACGGGCAGGAGGCGCAAATTCTCTCTCCGCGGCGCATTTATATCGCCCCTCGCCGCCTGTATCGATACGAGGCGCGAGGCGCGCACCACAAGATGTGGCGTGGCGGGGCGTGGTGGGGCGTGGTGGGGCGTGGTGGGGCGTGGTGGGGCGTGCTGACGGGGCGGGGCGTTCCTCGCCTCCACGGGTCCACTCACTCCTCACGGTTACACCCCGCCACCGACCGCCACCTCGGCGTGGCGTGCGCGCCTCCGCGGCCGCAAGTTGAGCAAACCGCGTTATGGGCGCTGCTCCTGCCTTTCGGGGGAGAGAGAGAGGTGGGGATGGGGGGGGG